CAAAAGAAAGAGAAGGAGGGCGGGAAGGACGAAGAGCAAGAAGAAAGATACAGTTACAATGGCGCCAACCCAAGATTACAGTTACACACCCGATTAAAGGCGCCGTCTAATCAAAATTTCGTTGCAGCCGTAAAAAGAAGCGCGTAAGAAAGAAAAAGGGCGTCGCGCGACAAAAGAAAGTCCTGATTACAAAATTCTTAAATTCCTAACTAATGCGAAAGGCGAAAGTACAGGTTCCGGGAAGAAAGTCCGGAATTCCGAGAGCCATCAGGGCTCGACAAAATTCGAAAAAGATTTGAAAGAAAAATCCAAAAAGAACAAAGCAATTTCCAGCGCAATGTCCGCGCCCAAAAGATCGACGTCAACATTTATTAATCGCGCTCGCAGTGGCGCGCCAGCCATTCGGTCAACCAATCAATCAACCGGCCATCCTAAAACACACCCAGCTCCGAACCCAGCCATCCGAAAAGAAGCGACGAAAAAGACGAAAAAGCAAGGACACTGATGCAATTTCCTACCGATCCCGATCTCCCGTAATTGGCCCAACCTTCCCAACTTTGGACCCCTTATTGTAACCGTGCAGAAAGTCGCGCATTACAGAAAGTGGTTCGTCACATATGTGACGCCCAGGGGGTTCCAATATTAGCAAGCTCCTGCTTGCTTGTAACACGTGTCGATTTCTCTAATCGATCGACACGCGGAGTATCTCTCTCTATGCCACTTACCATTCAATTCAGTGTGGACGTCATCCAACGTGGCAATACAGTTCTTCAACTAATTCCTCAGGGTGGGCTTTCGACATTCCAAGGAGGGGGATTACACGTGCCACCATATTATTCATCCAATCACGAGCGTTCAACGGGAAGAGGGAAGGGCAGCCGATACATGGTGGCATGGCGACGAGGAGGTTTAATCGGGAGAGGAGGGAGAAAGCTATCCAACCTAGCCACCGTTTTCGGAAGTTCTTCATACCGCACAATCCGCTGGAAACGGGGAAAGCGATTGCCACTATGGGGGAGAGAGGCGAGATAGTCGGGATAGAGAGTGACGAAGGTGCGGAAGAGGGCCGCGCGAAAATGGTCGCAGTGTTCGCACGCGGGGATGGTCCCCGTGATGATGCAATACACCTCAACCATATTGTGGCCTCGCCACGCGGCGCTTAGGAGAAGTACGTGGAGATAGACATCAGGAAGGGCGCATCGGGTGGAAGGGTGGGGATAGACTGAGGCGATGAGTCGGGTGGCGTAGAAGAAACGAAAAGTATCAAAGGGGAAGGGGTTGCGAGGGAAGACGACGCGAGTAGTGGCTTGGCGGAGAGTGAGATGATCAAGGGGATGGCGGGATAACAAACGGGGATGAAGCCCGATGCCCCGCATCGGTACGTTGACGAATTGGTGGGCGGTTTGAGGCGGAGGGGGAGAGGGATCGGCTTCGTCGCCGTCTTGCTGGTGGGGCCGAAGTCTCGCCAGCTGTCGCTCCATCTTCGGGTTTTGGTAGCTCCGGATCTTTGGCCGGGTCGTCCGCTTGCGGTTGGCCGGCTGCGCTGGCCAACTTCAGTTGTCTTTTTTCAGCCGCGATTTCTTCCTTCTTCTGCGCCCGAGCCTCGTCACGCACCTCTTTCTCAAATCCTTCGTATTCCGACTCCTCTTCTTCTTCTTCGTCGTCTGGTTCTTCCTCTTCGCTCGGCTCGCCCTCGCTATGTTCGCTGTAACTCCTTTCTTCGGGAGTTTCTTCTTCATCGTCTTCTTCTGTCTCATTTCTGTTGCCGTGCTGTTCTTCTTCCTCCTCATCTGCTTCCTCTTCTGCTGCTAGCGCTTCGTCCTCGGCGGCTGCCCGATCGCGGAAGAAGGAGGGATTGATAATTCCTCTCGGATTCAGATACGCTTGCCGCGACGGCAGCTGGCGATCATTCCCTGGGTCCTCCAGACACGCAGACCACTGGAGGTACGGTGTGAGGCTCCGCGCAAGGACGTGCGGAACTGGGCTCGTGTCACTTTGCGAGATGATGTCCAAGGGGAGATCGTCCGCGAGCTGCGCGAGGGGGATCGTAAGTTCGAGGACGAGCGACCGTCGATGGCTGGGCCGTACCGAGCCAAACAGCAATCCAAGCAAGTCGCCCTCAACGTCCATTCTCCACGCTTGAATGATCAGCCACTCCAATCATTCGCTCCAGGCACGATGATCTTCGTCTTGTGCCCACGTCACCTGTATTTCGACCAGGCATACCGATAGCTCAACGAAGTCTTCGCGCCAAAGCCTCCACTGCCCAGGATCGAGAAGGGGGACTGCGAGAGGTTCTAGAACGAAGGAGAGACTAGGATGGAGACTAGACTGCCAAAAGATGGGAAAGAGAGAGGGGAGCGCAAAGGTGGAGAGAGGGGTAGGGTTCATTGGGGACGTTGGAAGGGGATAAGCTCCGGCAGCTCCACCGCTGGTTCGTGCTGAAAGGCTCGGATTCCTCCGAGCTCGATGCCCTCCGTGGGAAAGAGACTTTCCCTAGGGCGCGTGAGAGAGCGATTCCACTTCGCGACGAGTTGCTGCGCCCACCTTCTCAACTCCGTCTTGATGTCGGTATGCCGGAGTGCGTGGATCGTACTGATGTCGCCGCTGAAATCAATGGCCGTTGACACGTGGCTTACTCCTGGTGCCGATCGACAGTGGACAGTCACCGCCTGTGTGAGCACTACCGCCTGCGGGCTCCCTACAAATCGAAATTCCGTGGCGGCATACACTCCCGATGTACGGAAAAACTGCGCCAGCTGTAGCAGATCCGGGCTAAGTCGTGGGTGGTGCACCTGTCGGATCGCTGAGATGTATCCCCGTGGTACTAAAAGATGGTCGCCGAGGGCTCGCTCCGTAAGAAAGCTCATGGCGATGGTGGTGGGGGTGGAGTGTCAGAAATGGAACAAGAGGGGGACGAAGAGATAGGGGATAGACAATCGTCGTCCTCTTCTGCAGTGGAGGAGGAGACAAATGAGTGCGAAGATGGGGAAGGAGAAAGGGGGCGAAGATAGGATACGTGGCGGATGATCGGCCAAGCCGATCGGCTGCCGGAGACCTCAGGCGCAAGCCGCACGGTGTTCACGTCGTTCGGTCCGAGTTCGATTACGCAAAATCGCCCGAAGAATCGTGGCGCTAGCTTACCCTAGCGAGCACGTTTCCTCACCTGCACGATGTCCCCCAATTTGTACTGGGGCCGTGGACCCGCGTTCCTGTTTCGGGCCTCATAGCTTCGGACCTGTCGGCCTTGGGCCAACTCGGGCATTCTGTGGCGTTTTCGGGCTAGTCTAGGAAGGGACCGCTCCATTAATTCCAGGTGCGGCTTAGCCTTGTCCCGAGTTGTGGCCTTGGTGGGTCGCCGGTTCATTGTAGATTCATCCGGGAGGCTTGGTATTGATACGCAGACAACGCTATTGGTCCTTAATTGGAAGGGACTTAGCCCCGTCGATTCATGAGGTGTACCGCGATGGAGCGCCAGGATGTGGTCGACGATATCGGGCCAGGGCCTCGGATCCCGTGCCGCGATGTTGCGTCGCAGTGCTGTCTTTATCACCCTGTTGGCGTTTTCTACCAGTCCATTAGATTGTGACATATGGGGTGCGGTATTCCAAATGGCGACGCTATGTATGACCAAATTCCTCAGCACCTCTCCTCTGAATTCAACCCCGTTGTCAGTCAGGATCTCTTCCGTATCCTGGTGCATCCGAGAAAACGGTTGACGTATCACGCGATTTCGGCGGCTTGTCGCGTGCGACAAGGGTAGGCCTCGATCCATTTCGAAAAATGGTCGACAAAAACCAATAGGACTGAATACTCACAACTATTAGGGCCAGGGGGCACCACAATGACTATGTCGGTAGTGTCCATGCTGACTCTTTGAAATCGTCGTTCAACTACCGTTGGCACTATCGATCTTGGCGGTTGAATCGACGCCTTATCAGCAGCACTGACTTGACAGTTGGCGCCGATGTACTTTACATCGTCGTGGATGTTGGACCAGTACCACTCATTTTTGTCGATAGCCGACTCTGTAATCCGTACGGCGAAATGAGCCGCAGTTTTTTCATGTGTGGTTTTAACCCAGTCATACCTCATGCATGGATGCGGTACAACCATCCAAATCCCACTGCCGTCTGTTTTTCGTTTTCCTAATCTGCCCTCTATCCATATGTAATCCCGAGCCCTCTCGTTGGCCCTCCTTTGATCTTCCTTGGTGAAATCCTGAAGGGGGTTGCCAACCAGGGTGGCAATCAAGGCGATATCAGTCCATGCTTCGGCCCTTCTAAACTTCCGGGTCTTTTCCAACCCTTCTGATGTGGCATCCAAAAAGCAAGCCTCGTTTGGAATCTTGTCAGTCCAACACAAGGGGCACAACCACGATTTACTATCGTTTCTGTATTGGATGCATGAGCCATGGGCTCGTGCGACACACTGTCGACAATTTATCCAGTCTGCATACCCTTCCCCGTTAGGACGCATGGAAACCGAGTACACACGGGAGATAGCTTCGCAAAAATAGCAAAATTTATCGGGCAAGGAGAGGAGAGACGAAGAGGAAAGGGGAGAGAGAGGGGTAGTGGGGTTACCTCCATCACCCATTGCCGCCGTTTTGTTTCTTGCCGCGTGGAAGAACTGCCACTTGTCCGTACTTAGGCTCGTTGGTCAAGTCCGACTCTTTCCACGGTGTGATGTCCTCGCCCTTTGGTACTTTGGCAGGTCGATGCAGACATGTCAGTCCGTCCGCGTTGCCGTGTCGCTCTGTCTTTCGATGGACGATATCAAAGTCGTATTCTTGTAGCCGCACCGCCCAACGGCCAATCATGCCCGTGTAATTGGTGAGTTTCTTCAACGCTAACAAGGGTTCGTGATCTGTTACGACGAGAAACTTCTGCCCGTAGAGATACGGATGGAAGTGCTGGATTCCCCAGACTACTGCATAGCATTCGCCTTGAGGTGCTGAGTTATTCCTTCGCTCATCCGATACTGTGCGTGACGAGTATTTGATGACGTGTTCACGACCATCGTTCCCCTTCTGCGCTAAAATAACGGAGATAGCTTCCGGTTGCCAGTCCGTGATGAGAATGAACTGTTTCGAGGGGTCCGACCGAATCAAAATAGGGGCCGTCGCCAGAGCGTCCTTGAGGGTTGTGAAAGCCTGTTGTTACTCTGCGTCTCAGCTGAGAGGCTGGTCCTTCCTTAGCAGGTTCGTTAGTGGTCGTACAATCGCGGCGAAACCCTTGATGAAGCAACGATAGTATGACGCCAACCCTAAGAAGGCTCGAACCTGCGTCAGTGACGTGGGAACTGGGGCTTCTCTTACCGCCGCAACCTTACTTGAGTCCGGCCTCAGTCCTCCACGTGTCACGACGTAGCCCAAGAACGAAATTTCCGAGAGGAAAAACTCGCTCTTCTCGAGCGCGATCTTGAACCCAGCGTTTCTCAGCGCTCCCAATGTCCACTCGATGTGTTGCGCGTGCCCGTGACAGGTCTCTGAGTAGACAAGGATATCGTCCATGTACACGATCACGCAAAAGTTGATCATCCCCTGTGTTAGCCGCGTCTTGTTGACGAAGTTCTGGAATGTCATGTTCATCGCTCGTTGAAACGTGGCAGGCGCGTTGCAAATCCATCGGACACCGAACCCACTGCCACATGCCTTCAAACAACACGAAGGCCGTCTTTGGTCGATCTTCCTCCTTCACCAGAATGTGATGGAAGCCATGCTGAATATCAAACTTGCTGAAATAATCAGCGCAACCAATCGCATCCATCAAATCATCAATTCGGGGGGGGGGATACACATCTTTAATCGTGATTTCATTCAACTTGCGATAATCGATGCATATGCGAATTGATCCGTTTTTCTTCGGCACTAGTACGACGGGAAATGACCATGGTCCGGTGGCGGGTTCAATCCACCCGCTGGCTTCAAATTCTCGAATTCGTTCGAGAGCCTTTTTACGCTCTATCACGGGGTATCGGTACGGCTGACAATGGATCGGGGAGTGATGTCCCGTCTGTATTTCGTGTTGAATAACTAACGACAGGCCAACGTCAGTGTCTGTCACGCTAATCGCTCCCCGATATTCTGTCAGAATGTCCGCAATCAATCGATGAATCTCATCGGGTACGTACCGTGGCACGTGTAACTCAAAATGTTGCTCCCAGATGCGTACATCTATCTGTTTTGTGGGTGCAGGTTTCGCCACATCGGGCGGGGGTGCAGAAATGAAGGAGTGATCCGATCGCCAGGAGAACACCGTGGCCATCATCTAGACGTCTTCTTCCCGAATGGCCATGTGTCCTTCTGGGGTAATTCCGTCACAAACATCCTGCCATGGTACAGTCCTAGTCGCGATCTTTACTCCGAGTTCGTCTGAGTCAGCTTCGAGGCGCCCAGGGGGTTTCAAAGAACTTGCTTCCGCCCCCAAGCGCAACAGTCGCACTTCTTTTGCGGGTGTCAAGAGAGACCTTGGTAGATCCGTAATGTCGCAGTAATACTTTTTGTCACTGTACCGGGCGAGGAGAGGGGTGATTCCTTCGTACAAGGTTTGAGGGGGTTCCAAGGAATCGACCATCCTTGAAATCTGTACGAGGGGTTCACCCAAGATCATCGCCTTGGTCTTTTGAATGTTCCGACTGGTCAGATGCATCGTTCTTGCTATCGATCTGGGTGGCGGGTAGTAAACACGCTGTCGTGCTAGCTTCAAGATTTTTGGATCGTCCTCATCACTGCTGTCTGTATCATTCGTCGATGACTTTCCATCCGCGGATTCATCCCAGGAGATCATGCGGAGAGTCCCTGCCATCATTGGCGAAACGTGTGGGACAACGTTGATGGTGGTACGAAGGGTTAGCCTCATAGGTACAACATAGGGCTTTCCTCCTGTATTTCGGAGGACGATCGATCGTCGTTCGAAATCCAGGTCTACTCGTAACGCTACAAGAGCAGGAAGTACGAAAAGGACGTGGTAGGTATTCACATCTTATACGACAACATGTCCCAGTGCATGCACCTTTCCTAATCGAAAAGCGACATTGGTCATCCTTCCTACGGTTTTAATCTTTTATTCGTCAGCCGAAACGAGCTGATCTTTCTCGGAAAGCATGATCAGGTTGTTTTTCCTTCCTGCCCTTTCGACCACTCTTAGTGAAATAGCCAACACCGCCGCTCCCGAATCTATAATTGCG